CTCTCCTCTCTCCTCTCTCTCTCTCTCTCTCTCTCTCTCTCTCTCCCTTTTGGAGGGAGCGTGCATGAGTGCGTTTCTGGTGTAGTCTTCATGAAGGAGCTCAGGGGCAAGCTAAAAACGACCTCCGAACAGCTTTGCGAGGCAAGCATGTGGATGCAATCCCCGCGTTCCCAAACACTCCAGCCTCGAGGCCAACAGAGAGAAGGAGGAGCTTCAGTCGTACCCTGCCCGGAGTAAACTTGCGACCTGTTGCGGTCTTTGAGAGCTGGCAAAGGCAGCTGCGCGACGCAGAGGATGACATGCGTCGACTCACAATGCAGGCAATGGATGTCAGATCCCAAGTGATAAACACGAAACCAACGCACTCTTGGACTTGAATTGCACTTGTGGCCAAGGCACAAAATGATCGAGAAAGCATGGAGTACGAGAGGAACGAGCAGGCAGCATGGTAGAGCACGTTTTATACCTGCGAGCCGGCACAGTTTTCTGTGAAGCTGAGCTAAAGCCTGTTCAGGTCTCTGAGTTGCAGAAGTGAAGCTGGCCTGTTTTGGCTCAGTCCCGGTATGTTTCACAAAAAGGGTTGGTTGTCATGTTGGTTCGCTTCGTTTGCGGAAAGTGGATGATGGCAGGTTGCGAAATGACAACAAGCGTCAGGCCGAAGAACTCGAGGAGATCCTTGTTTAAGTGCGAAGATCGGGTGCATAGTTCTCCGATCGGAAGATTCTTGAGTCGTTGTGTCTTGTTCTGAGGACGCTGTGACATGCGGCTGGCTTGTGGCACTGATGGTGTTTGTGTCGTTCAGGAGTTGGTGAAAAGCCATCAGAATCTCATCCAGTCCACTGCGCGGCCCTCGCGTCGCGGCGGTCCACGTCATGGACAGTCCCAGCGCCTTTGAGTGGGCTTTTGTGCGCGAGAGTGTGAGAGAGCGAGGCCGCTGACACACCCACCTCCAAGGGGCCTGGAGCTACGGGGAGCTTGTGCTAGTGATGTTCAAAGCTGTTCTGACTGCGATTGAGGTCCAGCAGGCTGCGTAAAGAAGCTGCTGCAGTGGACGAAGATAAAGATCCAGAGAGACCCTTGAAGAGAAAGGTCTGGCCCCATTCGGCAGCATTGGCTACACATGCATGCAAACAAAACTACAGCCTAGGTCTCACAGCTGGACAAGAATCTGGAACAGCTCACGGCAAATTTGCTGCATTCTGGATCTCACTCGCGTGCACTCTCTTTGGGCTTTTGGGGCGAGGTGATGTATCACAAGCTGGTTGCTCAAAACAGTGGTTTGAAGGCTGGGACATTCGAGATGCTTCAATTACCGAATCTTTCCTGTCATGCGAAGGTCGAGGTTGCAGAGAGCGACAAGAAGATCGAGCGAAAGGATCAGCGCATTCAACAGCTGGAAAGAAATCTGCGGGAGGCTTTCTGCCCTGTGCAGTCCAAGTTGTGTGGCATGTAAGAATGTGTAAGGATCACGGGCTACGGCTTCGTGCTTGCAGGCGAAGCAAAAATACGAGAAGTTGTTGACGCAGTGCGCAAATCTGACCGCAATGATTGATGTCGGAATCTAAGACTTGGAAATGTAGTAATTAATAATCAGCTTGTTCACAGCAGGGATCTGGCGGCACGGGCTACTGTGGCCTCTAGCAAGGTGAGGGGACGCAAGAACTGTCCGTGTGGTGCAAGTGGCAACAGCTCGCAGGCAGGTTTCAAGAAGATCCATGCCGTGGGAGTCGTCCATTGCTTGCTCTTTGGCTTGGCAGGTCCGCCGTGCTCCGACCATTGTGCGGCCTTTGCGCGGTGGAGTGGTTTCGACCCGTCATTCGCCTGTAGAGCATACAGTTGCGAGATGCTGTCGAAAAGATTGCGGTCCGAGGCAGCGAAAACAGTCCGAGAGTCGGTTTTTGAAGTTGCGAGGGGCGAAGGCAGAGGTTCGACCCCGCCTGCCAGCATTGCCCAGGCACGGCTGAACCGGTGGCCAGTGTCCTAGCATGTCCTAGCGTTAAAGCAAGACTTGGCTGTACCAGGGGTGACAACACTTAGGGGACACCGCCGGCAATGTCACCCACTCCGCCTTCCGAGCAAGCAGCAAGCTCATTGAAGACAGTTTCGGAGTGCTGTTGGTATCCGTTGATCAGTGTTCTGGGTTAGGCATCCACTCCGACATCTTCACCTGTCTCGCTACGAGGGGGGTGCGCCTCATGCAATGCAACAGAAGCCCCTAATTGCCCATTGCCTGCAAGGATCAAATCTCGCGAGGGCGTGCGGGCAAGGTGATGCGTCTCGAGCATTGCTCCGTTGCAGATTGTCGTGGGACTGCGTGTATGCAGGCAAGATGCTCCGCGACAGAGCTGAGTCGCACTTCTAGCACTCCAACCCACGCTTTCTTCTGAAAGACGGCACTTGCAGCACTTTCGTAGAGAATCGACGAGCTCAGATACCCATAGCCGCCATAACCTTGCACGTTTGTTCATATCCTATGATCTTTGGGTCTGTGCTGCGAAGTGAAGGACACCTTGCCATGTTTTCCCAAAGGCATCTCCATCAGAGTCGCTGCACCTTTTGCAACTCTTGGGCTCACTGCTTCAAGGTTTTTTTTTTTCTGACCTGACTTCAGTCGACGGTTGTGGATAGGCTGGGATCGCTGAGACGAGCCAGATTGCAAATGCTGCGGCAATTCGACTTCTCTCGTCTCACCAGCTGTGCAGTGTCGAGGAGCCAAAGGACGCCTGTTGTGCTGAAGGCCTTGTGTGCCTTAAGGCACCAAGAGGTTGTCTTGTGGTCCTTGTTCTCCTTCTTCCGCTCAGGCCAGTAAGCTTAGCACTTTGACCTGCATTTGTGTTTCGTGCTGCAGCTACTCAACTTCCAAGCTTGAGCTTAGAGCTTGCTTCACCGAAGGCCATCATAAGAGTTGCGACCACGAAAAGTCTTGCTGCTAGAAGCTAGCAGTGCTTCTTCGAATCATGTTCTCCGGCATCAGAGAGAAGCAAATCTCCCCGATTCTGCATACTGTCCTATCACTCGCTGAGATAGGCGTGCATGTTCAGATGACATGGCGTTTCTGCCTTGTATGCTTGTTTGCGGGTAGTCGTCGGAGTCTTGCTGTTTTTGCGACGAGGTCACTTTTCGAAGGTCTTCAGACCCAAGTGGCTGAATCTTGGGCATTGATTGAGTACTTGATTGTCCTGATCGTTAGATTTCAACAACATTTAGCATGTCATTTTCAGGAAACTGGTGCTTGAATGCTTCTGCCCTCGCCTTGGTTCGGTCAGGAACCGCCCCAGAAGGATGTGGACAGTTCCGGTCATCTACTCAACCGTCGTGAGCATGCTCGACGGTCTGCATGTGGAAAGCGGAAGCGTCGTCGTGTTACTTCTTACTTCTGCCGTGAACCACAGGTTCCGGCCTTTTTGGGAGCTTGAGTGTGGCTGGCGAAGGCCGCGAGGGTGTGCCACTAACCGCCATTCGCGCTCGCGCTTGCGAGGTACTTCCGCTTTCAGCTTCCTGAACTCCGACACACAGCAAGAGCCTGTGGGCGCCCAAAGAGGAGCTCTTCAGCGCCTGTTGACATGTCTCATTGCTTTCGCCTGAGGTGCCCAGTTCCCAGGCCCCCGTTGTCCCTGCAGTCCTGCACCGAGTCGGCGAAGTATGGAGCAAGGTCAATGAGATTCATGGACCACTTGTGAACACGCATAAACGTGGGCAGTTTGTTGTTCTGTCCAGCAAAGGAGTCCATCTTCACGTTTGTGAACAGTGCAGATGTGGCCGATCCGGTGTGGTTCTGAACTGCCCATTGCCTTTCTCAGCTCTTCCGGTTCTTTCTCCCATTCTCCAGGTGGCAACGTCAGCGTACCCAACAGGCAACCTGATCAATCTACAAGCATGAGCGCGAACTTCGGCACTTGCTCTGGCAGGAGGCACAAGTGGTGGTGAAAGCAGTCCGTCATTGACGGGTCCTTATCGACACATGTTGCAAAGTGTCACGGCGTGGCCCGTGCTTTCTTTGCAAAACTCTGAATTTTGCAGGGGGGACAACTCTGCTTTTTCGTTTATCGGCGGCTCTCAGGCTCTGAGAAGTGGCGGCAGGTTTTGTGCAGTCCATGTGTAGTGGGCCCAGGAGTCTGTGTCGCGTGACCGTGAGGTTGCAGGTGCGCCGGTTTTCGTACGTGTTTGTTGCATGTTGGTGCTGGGGGCGTGCATGAATACCAAAAGAATAGTTCTACTGGCAGCTTCTGTCCGATGCGTTTCGTGAGCTCGGCACATGCTGAATGGAGGTGCGTTGGATGTTCCCGAAGGCACTCGTCGGAAGACGCGCAAGGCGCATGCCCTGACACGCCTGTACTCCGCGATGGATTTTGAGATGCTGCGCGTGAGTTTGCAGGCGCTCCTTCCAGGCCATGCATCCCGTCCACAAGAGGTGCAGCACGAGAATGAGTTGTGTTTCAGGGTAGATAACTTGCAGGTTCGTACATAATATGCAGATGTATACAGACGACATGCCTGCTGCCACACCCCGGAGCATGTCTGTTTGTATCGTTTCAACACCTGTGCCTTTCTCGAAATTCTGGCTTCTTTTGGGGAAGACCCAGCACTTCAGCATTGCAGAGTTTGCAGGACTAAGTCTCCAAACTGCCATGTTCGCAACAATGCAAGGGCTGAAGATGAACATCCAAATCCGGTGCATGAAGACGTAACTTGTGCAGATCATCAGCTGGGTTTAAAGATGTAAGAAGCCGCAGATATGCTTGACAGAAGCCATCTGGAAAGTGCTGGCGATCGTAGCGAGAGATCAATAAACTCAACAATCCAGGAATGTGGGTGCCGCTCCACGAACCCATTTCAAGCCGACGCAGCACCGCATTCTCGAAGGTGGCCACAGGGAAAGCATCATGAGACAGAAATCATAGAGCATGGGCAGCGACGGGACGATAGTACTCAAGCGGCAAGGCATGTGTCGAACACACAATCTAGAAACACTTTCAGCTGTCAAATTCTTATCGAAGAGGCGGGAACTTTCACATCTTCACCCCGCCTTGGACTGAAGCACACGCGTGGCGGCGCAGCAGACAGGCAAAGGAAAGGTACACAAAAGTAAGCAGCGGACATGCAAATTGGGCAACACGAAAACTGCATGTGAACACATGCCAGGATAGACTGCAACATTGCCGAGAAAGGGTAGAGTACAGACGTATAGGGTTTGAAAGCAAAGGACCCGATTCCAGGGCGGAAGCCCACTCCGTTGGTCATCTCTTGAGCCAGATACGACTGACTGGACGCATGTACAGCGCTGTTCAGACAGTTCAGAGTGGCCGGGCATTGATGTTGCCATTTCTGTGGCAGTTGTTGATGGCACTGATACAAGCCACTTTGCTGCTTGCACCTGTGGCTGGGACGCCAACGTATCTGGGACAGGAGACGCGCATGCCTCTCCCCACGCCGACAGTAGATGAGTTGCCACCTCAGTTTGCGTTTTTCTGATGCCACGGCATTTTCGAGCATGCAAGATACAAGACCTTCCACGAACTGCTTGAGGCTGGCCATCGAGCGCAAGCCTTTCGAAGGGGTCGTGCCTGTTTCGGAGGCTGTTGCGCAGGCTCCACAAGTCCAGGCGACGGCTCAGGAGACGCAGCCGCAGCTGCAGGTGGGCGTGCAAACCGGCGCAAAAATCATCAAGCACAAAGTGTGACAGGCCAAGCCACCGCCCCCCCCAGATCCGTCGCCGTCTCCGTCGGGACCTTCTGCCTTCATGGCGAGGTACATGCTCTTGCAACAAGCTTTTGACGTGACAACGTCACCATGACATGTCAGCTCAGGTTTGATTTTGCAGAACAAGGACGACAGGAAGACTCCAAGGTCAGTTTCCACTGTTCGGGCATGTCGGTCGATCTTGCATCATCATCAGGCTTGCAAGCAGTGTACACTTGTTTAGCAGCCCTGCTGAGCAGCAGATCGAATCATGAGGCTTGCTTGTGTACCAGAGCGCTCAGCTTGGGGTTTTCAGAGAAGCCAGACGAATCAGAACTTTAAGCCTGGGCTTGGACATCGATTGCAAATCCTATTGCTAAATGCAGAGCATGAAATGCGAACTTGCCGCAGTCCATGATGAAATCTCAGATGTGAACCCTCGCTTGCATTTTCGAAACGACAGGTCATCGCTGCATCATAGCTCCTTTTTGCGTGCCCTCGTTTTGGCTCGGCTGACCTAGATGCTGTTTGATTGGGGCCTGGTTTGTTTTCAATGTTGTGGATAATTCGTGTGCCCCTTTGTCGATCAGGCTCTGTCCATTATGTTGGAATGAGACGACGGCAGTTAAGACACTGTAATTTATATAGTTTTTGTGCGAAAAAGCAATCTTTATGTAGACGCGCAGCGGCAGACCTGCTTGGCTTCCCGGCTGAAGCAGGTGCCGTTTTGCTCTGGTTTTCTTCTCGCGCCTCCAGACCCTTTCTCACCAAGGACTTTCTCTTTCTTCTACCTTTGGCTGTACATTTGGATTTACGATGTGCAACAGCTGTGCTTCCGGTATGCACCTGCTGCGGTGCGCGGTAGCAGGCGAAATGCGCGGGCTTTTCCACATTGGATCAGACTGAAAGATCTGTACTCTTCCTCTCTCTTTCTCTCTCGCTCTCTCTGGCTCTCTCTCTCTCTCTCTCTCTCTCTCTCTCTCCGTCCCCTCTTTGACTCTCTCTCTCCCCCCTCCCTCCCTCTCTCCCTCCCTCTCTCTATCCCTCTCTCGCTCGCTCGCTCTCGCTCTCNNTCTCTCTCTCTCTCTCTCTCTAGCTCCTCTAGCACGTGCACGCGTGCATCGTTAACTAGCTTATCTACAAATTCACAAGGGGAAGCGACCGGGACTAGTGTCGAATGAGCGTTAGCTGACGTTTCGGCTTTGTTTTGCTTCCCCAACCACATTGCTGTTGCAGGTATGTTAGCAGGGCCTGACTCTCTGAGTCTCGAGTTGGAGTTAGTCTCGAGTTGTGCGGGTTGAAGGAGGAGTTCGGCGTTCCAGCAGAAGTTGCCAGATGTGTCGCCAGGCTCCTTTTGCAGGAGTTGGTGTTGCCGAGCTGCAGCAACGCTTAGAAACGGCCGAGGCCAGTTTAACGAAGAACAAGATAGAGTGCAGCCCTCCTTCTCATTCAGGCCGAGTTGCAAAGGCTTTGTGACAACGAACAATTCGAAGAGGCCTCGCGGTTTTCCGCTTTTGCGGAGACAGGCTTGAGCTCTGCCAAGGCGGAAGCACTGGATTGCACCATCCAAGCTCTCAAGGAAATGATCGCCAAAGAGGAGTCTACAGAGGCAGTTGCAGTTGGTAGCAAGTAGCTATGTTGAAAACAGAGCTTTAAAACTTTAAATAATCAACATCATATAGATACTTTGTTACTAATGTGTTATCACATGATATGCTAGTTCTACAAGTTTGTTTAGATCTTACCTCGATGACGCATGGCGAACCAATTACACGATATCCGTGCGATAACCAACCAGTCGTTCCTCAAGTCTTGCATGGTTCTGACCGCTGACGTGATGAAGGCGACAGGTCGTCAGGCTTTTTGCTTTTTGTCTTTGGAATGACAGCTTCCTGGCGTTCATCGCAGGCGGCGGCTGTGTCTGCGCCCGCGTCGAGCTCTCGGACATCGATAGCCGGGCAAACGTGTAATGTCGGTCATCTTGCCTGCGCCGACATCATGGAGCACAGGCACCAGTAATGGTCACGTTTCTCACTAGATACCTATACCAAGCCCAATTCACCAAGCGGTTCCGGCAACCGGCAGGTGGATGTTCAACGCGCCTTTGACACGAACCGGGTGAGTGAACTGAACGGAGTGGAAGGCGAGTCGATCGTTCGTGGTAGGGATGATGCCCGACTCGACCAATGCACGGATGCACTGCTCATGACCCGACAACCGCTGGAGCGGTACGCAGCTGCATGCCGATGCATCCGATGCACCTCCGATCACGACTGGCTGATGTACGGCAAAAAATAGAAGACCACCTGCACAGGCACGAGTGCCGCGTTACCTACCGGAGAGGTGTCACGAACCACACGAAGACCGTGGCGAACCATTAAACACGCACTGCCACATACCTAAATGACAACTCTCAGTCGCATATAATCCCAATCAGAAGTTCACAGGATCGGTTTTGCGCTGCCAAGGCCGACCGTGGAGCACAAGGCGGAGGCTTTGCCCGTGGCAGAGGGGCAGAGAAAGGCGCAGGCGACGCAGGCAGTGCAGGCGGTGCAGGCGGCAGTGCCGGAGACACAGGCAAGGCCGTGCGATTCCTGGTTTGCTCAACTCGTCTTTGACATCTCAACGGCAGGCAAAGCCACCGCCGCCCCCGGAGCCGGCGCCGTCTCCGTTGCGCACTTATGACGTCAAAAGACGTCGATGCAGCGGCATGATGGACTGCACTGGCGATTTTTCGGGCCATGCAATGGGAAGTCGTGCAAGACAAGTTAAACTTTACACGTGCGTTGAGATCATCTGCGAGGCAAGAGAAGCTGCGCCGTGCGCTGTGGGCTCAACTTCGTTCTATGCATTCATCTAGACTCTCCCCACCTTCAGTGTCAGGTTCAATGCTGCGGGGGTGCGCCAGTGGCTGGAAGAGCAACTAGATGAGAGTGACAAGGAGAAGCCACAAGCACTGAAGGTGATGCTTTTGCAAGCTCTGCAGCGTTCATCTCGCTACAGGAGCAGCAGCGTTTGCTTGAAGCGCAGGTGCACAGCAACATAGTTGGGATCGCGCTGGCTTTCTGAATTGAGACAGCGACTGGTAGGTGGCTGAAGGAATCGAAGCTAGATTCGGAGCTCCAAAAACTAAACATATGGAGCTTCTACATGTCGAGCCTGGCATGGATGAACGCAAGCATGTGCTTAAACAGGGTGCCATTTTGCCACCGGCTAGCTGCAAGCTGCGAAGGAGTGTGCGTGGGTAAGCTTCGATGTTTGCAGGCTTTAAATTCAGTGGAATGGTCCGAGGAACTATTGAGGCCCAGCACGAAGGACTTAAGTCTGAGATTGAGGCAGTACAGTGCAACAACTCTTCGCAGCAGCGCCTGTCCGTTAGTGGTGTCAACATAGTGCACAGACGTATTCATCGCCCGTTCTCTCATTACAAGTCTATCAAATCCCAGCATCAGCCCTTGGGACACTGCAGGCTAGCTGCCTATCCGCCAGCCAACGAACTGCTGACAGTATCGCTGAACTGCGGCAACACTTAACCAAGACCGAGGCGGCCGTCGGGCAGCAAGCTCTGTGCGGTTGAAACCCACCGCTTGGCCAGTCGAGGCTGACCAGAACCAGCTGTGTGACAATGAGCAGTTTGAGGAGGAGCTGCGAACTCCAGGGTGGTGTCGTGTCGTGTCGCTTGCAGCTCTGTGCGCCATTGATTGGTTGCACGTAAAGGCCGACGCGCTGGATTGCACCATCCAGGGATTGAAAGACGATATTTCCAAAGAGCTTGAGGAGGTGCCAGCACTTTCATGGGCGGGGATCCAGCACCTGTGACGCTGTGCTGTCACGAAGTTCAACTTTTACGCGCAAGCCATCTCAAGCAGGCATGCAGGGCAGCATCGGACAGATGTGAGAGTGAGGCAGTGGGTGAGTGAGTGAGTGAGTGCGTGCGTGCGTCCGTCCGTCCGTCCGTAAGTCAGTCAGTCAGTCAGTCAGCACAGAGTGAGTGAGCGAGTGAGTCTGTGGGAGGGAGAGAGAGAGGGAGAGATAGAGAGGCTGGACCGCCCTGCTCTTCCTGCCTGGTAGAGAGAGAGAGAGAGAGAGAGAGAGAGAGAGAGAGAAATAGAGAGGCTCAAGGTGCCTACATCTTCGACTCCATCATCCAGTTCGTCGAGCGTCTCAAGCGGGTGGGCGGGGGAGAAACACTCCGATTGTGCCCCGGACTGTGGATCCTCCCCCGCTTGCGAAAGTAAATGGTCCTGGTTCAGGGGGTGTGAGCCATTGCCAGGCAAGCTCAACTCAAAGTTTGTGACAGTACATCGGCCTACTAAACGGGGGCAGCGCAAGAACCTCAACTCGGACCCTTTTGCAGACTGTGAGCTTTTCTTCCGCACCCTTTGTTGCCCTCGGAGTGATCCCTGATCCGCACCTCCCTGAGTACTTGTTCACTGGGCGGGGGGCGGCGAGATCTACCTGACTGAGTCATTGGCAAGAAGGGCGACTTCGTGAGATTCGGCGGATGGCCATGAAAGAGCAGAGCGCTATGTGCCGCATCTGCTGTGACGGTGGGGGACATGTCAACCTGGCTTCCGATAGAAATTAAGGAGAGGAAGACCCCTACAGTGCGGGATGACCCAAAGCCGGAAAAAGTGCTGAGATGGAAATGGATACCGAGTGAGGGGGCCATGTAAAAAGTTGCACTTGCTTCGTGACAGTTCGTTAGTGTTTTACTCTACCTCGGGGTGTGAACTCTTTAAACAGGGCCGGTGGGACAACTCCTCTCGATCCTTCTCGGGCAAACTCATCGAACCAGAGGCCCAACTTGGGCTGCAACACACCGTCTTGAGGCAGCTGTTGATCGTGAGTTCGGGGGAAATACAAGGCTTTAATTCAACTTTCAATCCGTCCTTGAAAACCCAGTGGGGCCTGCTGACAAACAGCGGGGTGACGATGCAAGCTTTTCCTTCTACCCCATTGCAGACCTGCAGTGCGTAAGGGGTATGCTTGGTGTTGCTTGTTCGATGAGCGTGTTGCACTTTACAATGTCTTGCTTGGGAGAGCTGTGGGCCTGACCTTTTCTCAACTCACTAGTACAGCCGAACACTCTGGTGGAAAACCCTGGGGGGGAGCGTCAGACACCCGACGGACCGCGGGTGCGCGCACGCGCGCGAGGTACAGGCCGGGACGCTGCCTGTGCCTCCTACTTGGTAGAGAGAGACAGAGAGAGAGGAGTGTGTCTCTAGTGCTTAGCTGTTGTTGCTGTTGTTGCCAAAGCCCTACAGAAGAAACCTCTCTGGGGAACCTCCAAAACCCCGTGACTTGCGGGTGCGCGTTCGCGTGCAGAGGGGGGGTTCGCGTGCCCTTCTCCTCTTGTCCAGGTAGAGACATCTTGAGAGAGAGTTTTGGCTCAAGTCGACCCGCCGTTTTTTTGGGGGGGCACTCGAGGGCGGCCCTGCGGGTCTGCTGTCTGTTCGCAGCAGATTTGTTGGGTGGACGTCCCTCCGAGTGGGAGGCTTGTGAGCACTCCGCCGAAGCCATTGCGTTTAAGTGGCCCCGCACTGCCCTTGCCTTCCTCGAAACCTGACCGCGGCCCCTCTTCCGGAAGATTGGCCCGCCAGTAGGGGGAACAGAAATACGACGACCTTGAGGGGAACCCAGGAGGATCGCGGAGATCTACGTGTACCTTGATCTCGACTATGGCAAGCAGTTCGCAAACCCCCGCCAAGGGGAGGAAAGAAAGGTGGATCCACCACCAGACCCCATGGCCAAAGCCCCAAACCAGTGCCGTCTTGCAGAAAGACCTCGACGGTTGGGGGTCACGTGCAAGACATCCTATACCCCCCCCCCCCTATAAATAGGTCTAAGGGGGGGGGGGGTGTCTGGACCTATTGTTTTGAATGGCCGGGACCTATTATAGTAATTCGTAGTGTGGATGTTGGACTAGTAAGAGTGAGTGTACATCACTGGTATTGTTAGTCTTGTGGTGCTTGGTTGTTGCCGTCATCGCCGCCCTTTGTAGGTAGCCGGTAGACATGATGACCTCTTCGGCTAATGGTGGTATCTCCGGGTCGGTAGGTGGTCCGTACAGTATCTGCTGCGTGTGTTGAGTCCCGCTGGAGGGCTTTGGGGGACTGTTCCGTGGGACATCCCATAGGAACCCTGGCACGAGGTCATGGCAGGGGACCTATTTCCGCCCCCGCCCTCCCCCGCTCCGCACTGCGATTTATACTGAGATATGAGTCTTAAAAAAGAGCTTCCGGTGACTGTTCTATGGGGCCTTTCACAGGAACCCTTCCAGCAAGCTATGCCTCGGGACCTATCTTGCGAGCCGCCGCCGTGCTACGTGCAGGCAGTAGAGCAGCTACGCTACACACAAACCGTAGTCGCAGCACTCGACGGAGCGGCACCCGGGTCCTTCTTGATGTGGACCTCTTCGGGGAATGGTGGCATACAGCCTCTATTGGGGGACTGTTCTGTGGGACATTCCATAGGAACCCTTGCACGAGGCCATGGCTGGGGACCTATTCCCCCCCCTCCCCCCCGCCCTCCCCCCGCTCCGCACTGCGATTTATACTGGGAAATGAGTCTTGAGAAAGGGTGTCTGGGGACTGTTCTGTGGGGCTCGGGACCTATTTTGCGATCAAACATGAACCTAACCCCGGAACACCCCCCCCCCTCCCAAGGCCAGGAGCCGATCTGCACGGCGACCTGTATCTCGTCTTTCGTGATGTCGTTGTATATATCTGCTGTACTCGTCGCTATGCCCTCTTTCAGAGGTCTTCCTGTTTCGGTGATAACGTACTCCCCGGTTCTGCTGTCCTGTCGGATGCACATGCCACTCCATTTGTCCAAGGCGCTGGGCTCGAACCTGACGTATTCAGAGAAGGGCCTGTGCCTTCCCCCTTGTAATCTGAGCTTCCCCGCTTCTTTCGACACCGGGTCTCAATGTCTCAAGCGGCATCCTCGTCCAAGGTTTTGCGTAGGTCGCATGGCCGCCCCACGCTGATCAGTTGCCCCGTGGCAATTTTGTGCTTGTAGTACGTCATGGGGCTTGTGGTAAAACGGGCCATTCAAGGATGCATACCCCCCTATGGGGGTGCGGGGGTGGGGGAACCCCAGGGTGGGCCGGAAATAGGTCTGGACCTATTTCGGGTGGGTCCGGCACCCCTGGCCCTGGTGAAGAAAGGTGTGGTGGCCAAGCACCCGTGGAAAGTGGCCGGACTACTCAGAGTGGCCAAGAAGTTCTTCCCCGAAGACCAAAGGGGAGAAAGCAGTTCCCGCTGGGCGGGCAAAACGAAAGAAAAGAGAAGGAGGAGCAGATGGTGAGAGCGGCTAATCCGTGCACGTTTACTTGTATACGCTCGGTGTAATTCTTCAAAGGCAATGACTCGGGCACACCTCTTTTTCAACACGCCGCCAATGCCAACCGTTCAGCTAACACACAAGATGTTGAGTTCGGGGGAAAACCTCAAGGCTGTGTTCAGTGGCAGCCAATGGAACTCGCTTGAAACAGCGGGGGAGAGCACGTTTTTCCTTGAGGTCCCATCTTTTCGAGCTCACCCTCAACTGACATGCAGAAACCCCCCTTAGCATGGCATACTCTCGCAGTATGTTCTGGATTCACCGTGTACACTGTGTTCTTTCAGTTGCGGGGAGAGCAGCTAGGCACGTATACCAGCCAAAGCACACTTTTGCGCGAGTCTGCTTTGTTGTTGGTCGGAGCCTCAGCCTTAGACTTAGTTGTTGCAACTTGGTGATGAAATACAATGACATGTGAAACGAGGTGCGATCCTGTGATCCTAACAACGTTCTTCCTTGCATCCTTTGATGGAGGATCGCACCTCTGGCTGACTGTACAGCCGAGCCCCCCAGGGGCAAAACCCTTGGGGGCAAAAGAAGGCCCTCCGCTGAGGCACGGAACCAACGGAAAATACAGCTGAAGACGACGACGGACGACGACGCCGACCAGGACCAAGGACCTGATCGGTGTTTTCAGCCGCTCAAGGGGAAAAACTACATTTTCGCAGCTAGCTGGAACGTGGGCGTGATTGGAAAAAGTTTTCGGGTGGCCTCGGTGCAAGTGGGTCGGTTTTTGGCTGAGAGAGCCTGAGGGCTCATGAGGGAAGGGCAAAGTGGATAATCGCATGGGTTTCGCACATTGTTGATGCTGGTGTTGTCCGGATGCCAGACTTACGTGCAGTGCTGGGCGGGCTTTCGTTTGCGTTCACTGTGCTACCCAACTTCAGACCGCTCTTGTGGGGCCGCTGTATGCCTGGAGTGCGGGAGTGCGGCGATGGGAGCTTTTCACAGTCGTCCCTTGCCAAAGCTGGTGATCGTGCGAGCTTCTTGAAGGCTTTGCTAGAAAGGCTTGGGAGAAATGCGGCGGTCGGCGAGCAGTGCCAATTAGAGCGAGAGCTTTTCCGGACGGATGCCCGGGCGGAAGGTGACGAGGTGTGGATAGGTGGCTTCGCGCTAGACAATGGCAAATTGTCAGAGTGCCCGGGTTCGCAGAACGCATCTCGCACACGATGGGCAAAAGTGGCTGTTTCTGGCGGGCCATTGTCACAGAGGCGAACCACCGGGTGCGCAAAGCATTCCACAAGAATGCTCGGCTCGAACTGAGACAGTAGGAGTGATAGTGTTATGTCAATGCAAACCAAGCCATTTGATTTACTTCAGGCCATGAGTCACCAACGCAGCTCCCAACTGTTCCTTGCGTACGTGCTCGTGTTGTCTTCTGTTATCTGCTGAGCAATTGGATCCCCACTTTGGTTCTTTGTCGTTTTGCTCTAATGTCCGAATTTAACATTACATGACAAACGGGGGAATCCGTGTGAAGAGGAATGCATACTTCGTCTCTGGCGGAATCTGTGCTGGGTGGTGCGCAGCCGGACAGATGTGCAGATGCAAGCGTTTACCATTTCAGCATTGGGTGTCATCTGCAAGTGTGGTTTTCGGCAATTCGGATGCTGTCATGTCGGAAAGTACCTGAAATCGTGGTAAACCTGTCTGCGCTGTGACTAGTCAGCTAATCTAGAGATGCCGACAGAATTCCAATATGTTCAGCGACCGGACGCTCGGAGTCCAATGCACCACGTTTTGCAATCGGGCGTGATTCTTTTAGCATGTTTCGAGATGAGTGTATGCCTGCCTGGCAGGTAGCCATAGGTGCGAAGAAGATGGTCACTTTCGCAGAGAGTTTGTTGAGCCTCACCAGGACGCAGTCTCGACCAATGCTCCTGCCTCGACTTTGTATGGTGTGATGACGTGTCATGTCAGGAGTCGAATTTCGGTCGCCAACGACGCTCTGGATCGCGCGGAGGCACGTTCACTCAGCAGCCGGCGAGCTTGATCCCAAACACTCTGTTAAAGGTTCTGCGCAAAGAAGGAGCAGAGGCGCCATGCTTTATGCCGGGTGTGATGGGTGCTACCGACATGCAGTGCATGTTTTTTGAATGTTGTCAGGGCTTTCAAGTCACGGAGGAACGCTGCCTCCGACATCTTCAAGCAGAAGAGGCACGTTTTGTGTGTTAACGGATTGTCCATCCCAGTCAGAACATGCTCACAGGCCCGGATTGAAGCAGAGAGGTGGGGCCTGTGCATGCTGCTTTTCAGCTTTTTCAAGCAGTGTGTGGAGTTCTCTTTCATTTTCCTCCATGCCTTCCGGCCATCTGATAGAGTTATAGTATTATAGACAGCAAGAAAACCGTTGTCTGCTGAGACATTGTGCAGCCCCACTTGTGAAGCTCAGTGTCGATGCAGGAAACGCATGGATTTGGCACAGTCCCACATCGAGAAGGACATTGGGTTGCACTTTCGTGATTCCATGTGCCGCACCCCGCCGTCCTTGGACCGTCCTTGCGAAGGTCTGGAGCACGTGAATGACTATGCATGTTTTTCAGTACCGGGCTAACAGCTCAACGACGTTAATTTCATTTGCTCGAAACGATGCAGGACTCGCAAAACTTGAAAGAAGAGTGGCAACAGGTGGAGACATGCAGCGGTCGTGTTGAATGTTGTACCTTGTGTCGCTGTAGGGTCCAGACACCGGGCAGCTTAATGAGGGCTTGTCGATGTGGGGGTATCTGGAGTGCACATAGCTTCTCACTAAAAGCCTGCAGGTTACGGAAGCTATAGACCAGCAGACGACAGAGGATACCGCAGTCATGCTACTCAGTTTTCTTCACATTGTGAAAAGCAATCCAGACTAGGAGGGCTCAGTCTCGCATCCTCAGGAAAGAGAGAAGGCGAGTCACGAACGAGCAGCCCTCGATGAAGAAATCCAAGAGTTGGAGAGGCCTTGATGAGACCTGATCTTCGTTGTAGCTGATATCGGAGAGCTGACCATGCTCAGGCAGTTATCGCAAAAGCTCGAGCAGCGGAAGACCCTTAGCGAGGCGACGAGTCTGCAGCTTCCGCGCTTTGCCCACGCTGGACAAGCACCTTTTCTTGACGAGCGGGCCGCACTCGCGCGCGACATTGAAGCGGAAGGAGTTTCAGCACCCATCAACTGTGCTCAAGTGTGCTGCCGTCCTTGTCGTTTAGCAGCCCTGGGTCCTGGGTCAGTGCACTTGCCACAGAATGAATGTGCCCAAGCCATGTTACGAAGCCCGCCCGTGCCTGGAGTTCTTTAATCCCCCGCTCGGCAAAGCTGCCAGGGGCCATGAACAGTTCTAATCAGTTCTAGACGCTGGAAGTTGTCCGTCATAGTAAGCCTTCGGATCAGCAAGGTAGAGCTTCGTGTGATGCCAGGCAGAGTCACTTCGCTGTTCGGGCCGTCCTGTGTTCAGGTCATTGACTCGTGCGACCTCCGCATCTCTTGTATACGGCGCGGCTGCATTGAGAAGCGGTGCTGGCTGAGCAGAGCTGAGACGGCCCTGCAGGGCCAAGTTCGAGAAGCAGTTGGGACGCCTCGAAGGCCGTTTGCACGACCTCACGAACTCCGTGTGGATGGGCGTGCATGCATACAGGCAAGCAGAAGCGTTTGGAAGAAGCTCAGAAGGAAGTGGAGGTAGACACGCAGCAGGCCGGTAATCAGAGTCGTGCTGATGACGTCGCTTGCTTCTGTCTTCCTAGGTTTGCCAGATGGAGGCTGAGCTTCAGAAGGAACGGGAGGTCTGATGGCTTTGCTTTTTGCCAGTTTTGGAGCACTCGAGACATTGCTCTCAGGCATTGCGCGAACAGGAGCTTCAGCATCAACAGCAAATGCAAGATGTCCGCAGAGCATCGCGCGACCTGCGGAAACAGAGGCCGTGGGTCTTCAAGTGATTCTAGCGAGTTCTGGCATTCTTTAATTCTGATTTGTTTGTGAGGTCTTTCTTGTCGGGGATCATCCAACGCCGTGTGGTCTGGCAGCGCCTGATGGAGCCCCACCGCGAGTCCCTGCGAGAGGCCACGGCCGGTTTTTCTCCTAATGAGCAGAGCGCGATCTCACCGGAGCACACCTGCCTTTGCCTTGCAAAGACCAGCAAGACACCAGAACTAGATCATGGGGGAATGCGGGGCACTCCTCCATTACATCCTTCGCCTGCCCTTTCAAGCGGCTTGTTTGAAGCCTTGCTTGCGTGGTCGTTCTTTGGCTTTACCTTCTTTCATGTTTACTAATGTTTACAGCCGCAGTGTTGAATCTGCTTGAGGCCCGGCAAAGCTGGGAGGAGGCTACGCAGAAGTGCATGGAGCTCTCCACGAATTCCGCCGGCCAAGAGGTGGGAGTTGTGTTGATTTTGAGTTTCGAGTGTTCTCTCCGGATTGAGTCATCGCACTGTAGGCTGCCGCCGCCAAGCTGCGCAGTCAAGTTGATGCGACAGTGGAGATTCTTCCAAGCCTGGAGGCCAAAATGATGTGCTTCACGTGTTTGACCATGGTACTGCTGTACATGTTCAGGCAGAAAAGAAGCTTGCAGTGGCTTCACGCAGTTTCAAGGAGGCGAGAACAGAAGCGCCGCAGTTCCTGTTCTGGGGTGGTATGCACATGCAGTAGAGTCTAGTAGAGGCTGGTGTGCATTGCATCAGCATCGTGACGGTCCAAGCTGGGTATCGGTGCATACTCAATGTTTATCCTTGTCACTGCAACAAGTCTTATCATATCCACACCTGACAGTACATCCTGGGCATGAGATCACGCGCGACAGAACGTGTCCCCGGGCATAGCAGCTGTTCGGATGCGCAGGCTGGGTGTGGACCCGGGGGGCGGTCCTAAGGGACGCCGTCCCGAAGAGCACCCCGCCCTCCTCGTTTCCCCTGCTAGGGCGACAAGTACCCTCGAATCTTGTCACATTTACTTGCATCCACGAGTCACTGGGCATTCAGCGCACTGGTTCCGCCCCCCCATGTCTGAGGGTCTAGCCCCAGCGTGTCTGTTTGCCGTAGCGGCTTCTTTCTGCTTGGTCCGGTTGCTTGTTCGCGCCTCGGCGCTGGAGCAGCGGTGTTTCCTGTGCATCTGGCGCACGCCGTGGGTTGCCTTGGGTTGCCTTGTGCATGCCCTCTGTGCTTGGATCATTGCTCACTCAGCATTGGCCGCACTGTTTTGCCGCCTTGGAGCTTGTGGATGGACGTTGCATGCCAAATTAGTTGGCCGGTGCAATGCAAGTGTTCTCACGTTATACCTGTAGACGCCGTCTGGCTCACTTCTTCCTGCAGCAAGTCAGTACACAATGATTGACTCGCGAGCATTTCCGTGCCAACCCGCACAGAATTGGGGTCAGCCCACCAGAAAAGCAGACTTTCAAAAGGCTCAACGGCCTCGGTAGAGCCATCTGCGACCACAAGCCTAAAGAGATCGGGGCCCTCACTGATCACTGATCGCCACCCCACCAGACTCGAGCGACCTGAGCATCCAATCCAAGGAAACTGGACAACTGCGGGCCGCGCCCATCATGAATTCCCGCCTGGCGTATCAGCAACCCCGGATCATCCATAAGGTGTACGCGAAGGTCAAAGTCCCCTTTGCGAACGTGAGCCTTGATGACGTCCCAGGTCGAGCATACATACAGATCGCGGTTGAGAGACACCAACGAAGGTGTAAGCCACGTAAACTGATTCACATAGTCAGCGCAAAAACCCATATGAGAGGGACTCCTAGCATCGAGAGGCTAGTCGTGTCAGAGACAGGTGCCATAGGTTAACCATCAAACGAGCACGAACGTCTCCGCATCCCAAGTGCAATGCGCCGGCGTGCTTCCTGCAATGCGTACAGATACATCCTGAAATCGTTTGTGTCTAGTTGGATGTTGCGTTCTGTCGAGTGGCACCTGCACAAGGCGGGTCGCCTGACGGAAGAGATCCGAAGGCCTGCTACACTGCTACCTTTGGCATTGGGACAGGGTGCCAGTAAGAAGTCGTGAGCCGAGTGTTCCAAGGTTGAGTGCGACGTGTCAAAGTGACCTGCCAGGAGAGAGGAAGGCAAGAAAAAGATTGAAACAGAGCTAGAGTCTTTGCAGGCAGTGCCCCAGTGCTTCAACCGTCTCAGCAAACAGTTGCCGGCCGTAGCAAAGGCAAGCCTGGCGACAGCGCGCGAGGAGTTGGCGGCATGTAGGCAGACCGAGCAAAACGCTCAGGAGCGTCCACGCTTGTCCTGTCAAGTCGAGTCCACACACGTCGGAGTCTACTGTCGCCTTTGCGAGGAGGAGCTCCTGAAGGTCGAAGGAACTTGTGCGGTCGAAGAGCTACGGGTCGCAAACTCAGGTCCCCGGAGGTCCAAACTAAAAAGGGGAAGGTTTCGACATTTCGACAAAGACGCTGGAAGACTCAGGTGCTGCGCCATCAGGTCAGTGACTTGGAGGCTTGTCGCGTACTGCCTCGAGAGCTGACCTCTGCTGTGTCGCCATGTTTCCGTGTTGTGAGGACTTGTGCAAAGCCCCGTCGCTTAGCGCCAGTGCGCGACGCCTCTACAATCAAGAGGTGAGTGTGCTGAAGCACCAGCAGGCAAGGCAACTTACAGCTCTCTGCAGGCTTGGAGGAACACGTTGCAATGCAGTTTTGCAGGCACATCTTGCCAAGAAGCGACACCGTCTCGCTTGCTGACCGTCCAGGATCAGGTACAGCAGTTCTTTGCACGCAAAGCCTTGCAGCAAGCCGGCCTGCACGGGCGACCCAGGAGTAGCAGAAAGATTCAGTAGTAGCCCAAGTAAGTGGGAGCGCCGTGGACTATCACGAGCGTGCCGAATGTTCCGAGAAGTTTTCTTCCAGAGGCTGCCGTGACCCGTTCCTGATCGCACAGAGAACACGACCTTGTGTTCCAAAGCCTTCCCAACTCCTCGTCCAATGATGTGGGCTCCACGGGCGCCAGATTCAGGATGTCGTGAGGTCCCTGCTATGACCGGTTGTGTGATCAGCGGAGGTCGTGCCCTACCATCACGACGCTACATCGCACACTCGCACCTGTGATCGAGCTACACGCGGCAGTCGCGAACACAAGAAGATGCAGGAGATGATGATCTTGAAATGCAAGTGTGGCCAGCATTGGAACATCGGGGCATGATATGATATGCAGTCGTTGAGTCCAAGTCGTTGGAGCTCATGCAACAAGCTTTTTCCGGCTCGGCCAATCAATGTTCGCAGTCCAAGAGGTATGCAACAGGGGCCGAATTCCAAGCCGCACAGGACCTCACCCTTGTGTTCAAGAGTTGCGCAGCCTTGAGCTTTGCACTTGAGTATGACATGACCCATGACAATGAAAGTTACCGTACCGTGGCTTTGTCGCGGCCTCGCCTTGCCCAATAGCTTGGGTTTAACGTCTTGGGCAGGCCAGAGCCATGGCAGGCCATGGCAGGCTTGCAGTGCAATGTGCCAGGTACAACATCGAGACCGAGTCGTTGGAAGACATTGCGGCAGAGACTATTGAGGGTCTTCAGGACCCCTTGCTTGAGCCGAGACGCTGCATGCTTCAGCGTCCGGCAGCTTGCAAGGATGGCGAAGTGCAGAAGGAGACTGCCGATTCCATGTCGGAAGCGGAGGCCATGGCGAATTTCGAAAGACCTCGGATGTTGGAAGTCGGAGGCTGATTACAGCTGCTCCCCGGTTCCGAACGGAAGCTCGGAGCTTCCAGGCTCGAGCGCAGGAATTATTTGTGCGGTAGCTGTTGCGGAAGCCCAGGCACACAGCCGACAGCGCTGTCTGAAGATGAAGGTCGCCAAGACGATGTTCAAGAGGTGCCAGAATCCGGGCAAACAAAAAACAGCACTAGCTTGGCACAGGCTGACACATCCCCGTGCCAAACCACATTTGGCACGCTAGTGAGCATTGTAATCCTCAGAGCAGCCCCATCACGTGGTGCCAGGGCTCAGACGTCCTTGCTGCCCCTTGCAAGCATTACGATGCCGACGGGCATCAGCAATCACAAGCACTTTCCCAGGACATTCAATGGATGGTGCCTCTTTGTGTTCATTTCAGCCATGCATGGCAGTCATTTTGAATGCAGTAGCTGGTTAGCTTCGGAAGCCTTGCGCGAGTTGCACGGTGCCCATCAGCCGGTGCGGTGCCATCGGTTTGCACAACTGGGTTGGCATGGCAGTCTGGGGAAGGTCACTAGCGAGTCGTTCAAGCTGACGAATCATTGATGTCTGGCCCTCGAGCCAAACCTGTGCAAGGTGACTAGCGAGGATTGCAGTCCTGAAGCCCTCTCGGAGAGTCCGCGCCTCAGCTTGGCTTTCGGGGAGCTTCGAGGTTAGAGGCTGAGTGTCACACCGGCCAGGAGCTGCTGCGGTTGCCTCGGCGATCGAGGACTTCAAGGTGCACAAAACTCGGTTGACGTGCCGTCCGTCACAGGTGTGCGCAGGAGGGAGTGCGAGAGAGAGAGAGAGAGAGAGAGAGAGAAAAAATGGGGGGAATCCCCCTCCTGGCACCTCAGGGTGCACGAGGCACCAACCTCACACTCCCCAGGCGCCTTGAAATTCAGCGCGGGGGACCAAGCTCTGATCACCAAGAGAGATGGGCGGTGGAAGTGGCAACTCTACACCTACGAAGCCCTACAAGAGCTTGGAGGATACACCCACCCCTTGCCAGAAACCCCCAGCTCAAGCAGTAGCGGGGCACCCCCGCAGAGAACCCAATAGGAGCAGGCCGCGAGCAGGGCGCGCTCGCGCGCGGTGCCGTGCTCCTTTGGCTGTGTGGAAGAAGAGACACTTCATGGGAGTAAGAAGTGCAAACCAAAAGCTTTTGCGTTTTGCGAGTTTGAGACAAGCTCAGTGACAAGATCGTTAATTACAGGGGACCGAGTGAGTAAGTGGGAACCTCCTTGGATAGGGCGTTTAAACCTCCTTCGGAAGGGGCTATACGGACTGTTCCTGCTGACCCCTGTGCTTTTCGGTTTCCTTTAGTGCGAAGGCCGGTTGCGGAATGTGATTTTCCAGCTTGTTCCAGCTGTCTATTGAGAACATTGGAAGTTCTGAGTGCCGGGGCGCAAGACTGCATGCGGCAGCTTAATCTAAGCTCATACTTCCCAACAGCTTTGGGGGGAATGAGACAGGTCGGTCGAGGCTTATGATACAGGCTGGTAGGCCGGTCGTTGCCTAGTTCAAATGTTTTGTCTGACCTACTCCAACCTCAAACTGGGTAAGGTTGGTCGTGACTCCTTGCGTGCTTGTGAGGGAGAGTCTGAGAGAGAGCGAGAGAAAGCAAGCAAGAGAGAGTAGTGGTTGTAGCTAGCCATTTCGCTCAAGTGCTACACCTTTGCTTGGGGGGGCCCGTGCCGCCCCCTTGCATCGGGGGTCGAGTTGTGGGGATTGACCTGGATTTCGCTCCGGGGGAGCCTTCACGTCTTTCCCGGCGGTGCTTGAGCCTTTTCCGCGCCGCTCCTTTTCTCAAGTGGCCCTGAGCGTTTTGCGCCACTCTCGATCCCAACCATGGCCCTCCTTCGGGGGGTGGCCCATCAGTGGGGGGAGAGAGCATACAACTCCTCTACGTCTACCGCGATTTCATAGATGGCTGATCTTGACCGCTCTCGTCCGGCACCTCCGCGACTCGCTTCTGGCGCCATTGGGGCGGCCCCCGCATTCCAGCAATCGCAGCGCAAGGCGTTGCTGGTGGTCCTCCTCCACTTCGTGCTCGAGCTGGCTCCGGTCCACCTCCGCTACCGTCCCGCAGTTCCCATCCTCGTGAAGGTCATGGCCACGCTCGCTCGCGCAGTCCCCGCCGCACACGGGACGTCATGGCCGCACCTTCCAACCCAGGGCTGGCGCCAAAGATGGCGGCTCGCCCGCCCAATGGTGGACCCGCTTCCCGTAGCACTGACACTCCAAAACAGCCAGCCCCACTCACTGTATTTCGGTCAACCTCCGGGACGGCTTCTATCCTGGAAGGCAAGACCACGCAGAAGCGCGCCAAACCTGGCACATCCTCCGATAGTCCTGCCTCACTGGTTGCGCCTGCCGGCACGGCTGCACATCGTTTTACCCCGACTCCCCAACCCCCAGCCAACTGGAAGCTCTTCTGAGCCACGTGGCGGGGCTTTCGCCTTCACTCGCTGGATTAGAGCCCAGCTTCCAACTTGCACAGACCAGGCGAAGCTCGCGCAAAATCCCTGCCTTCTTCCTGTCGCACGCCGCCTTCGCCATTCCAGGACTTGCTGGCCACATCCTGGAGGAGCTCCTGCCAGTAGCGGGGAAAGACAAGCGAGGTCGCACCAAGCTGGCCTCTCCGATCGGTACCCGCAAGTCTCGCTTGCCCAGCAATCAGCGACTACAGCGCTACCGCCCCCGCCTGATGACCGGAACGGTAACATCACTCCGACCAACACGCCTCTGCCTGCCCAGCCACTGAGCCCAGTCCACCTGACGGCTCTGGACCTGCTGCCTTTCAAGGACTTCGCCTGGTCCAGTTCACCGTGGGCGATTCGGAAGAAGGCTGGACATGTGTGTGTTGCCGCGGTGACATCCTTGCCTGCCACAAGCTCGCACGTCTGGAATGTCTTTACATAGTACATTCGGATTGCCTGGAACGGTGGGTCAAAGCCCCACACTCTCGGGGGCGTTGCCCGGAGTGTAACGCTCCGGTGCTTTGAGCACCGCCAGGTTTTTTCACAAATCTGTGGTCGCAGTTGTATAGGTTTCTCCAGCCATTTAAAACCCTGTGGCCTGCGGCCTATCTCGTGGTTTCTTTACCCCACTCCGCATTGCAGGTACTCGCGGAAGAAAGGTTCGGCAAGCCGTTTCTTCCACAGTCAGTAGCCGCTGCCTTACTTCCGTAACCATCGGTCCTGTCTTCCCTGGGTATGTGCTCGTGCCAGCAGTAGCACACGCTCCTTTATCTGCGCCTTCAGCTATCCGCCCTTCCGGCAGGCTTCTGGGCTCCAACCTTGCCCAAGAGCTGGGCTCTCGCTCCTCCTCCTCTTCCGACGCCGACATGCCTCGCTACGTTGCGGGTGGTGCAGATGTGCGCCTGAGCCTAGACGTTGGACAACGCCAGCCCCTGCCAGACATCGCCGGGCAATGCCTCGGCGACGACATGACTTGGAGAGGCTCCAAAACCCTTCGTATCGCATCAGTCCAGTGTGGTAGTACCGGACGCGATCGATTCCAGTGGGGGCCCTGGCATGGTCAAGGGTCAAGGGCTCAGCACCTTTGGGGCTGATGTCGGCATACTGTCGGAAACTGCGCTCCATGGAGACGCACAGCATGCCCAGGCATGCCGCGGTCTCCACTCCTCACTCCTGCGGTTGCCATGCTGTCAGTCATGGACGTCCTCGCAACGGCCCAGCAGACTATTCAGCTGCTGGGTCGGGCGTAAACTCAGGTTGCTGGACGGATGTGGCCAAAGACCGTCAGGCCGCGCTGTCTGGCGGTCCTGCACACACGCAGTGGCATTGATGTTCGGTGCCTTGCGCTCTATGGCGGCGCCTGTCTCCCACAGTTCGGCGTAGGGAACCCGCGGCACTCTGAGGAGGAGTAGGCCCTCAAGGATTTCGTAGACCAACAAGTGCACAAAGCCGGCGAGCTACAGCAGCTGCTTGTGGTCGGAGGCGACCTAAATTCCTTTGTGGATGTTGAGATGGACAGCTGGGGTGGTCATTATAATCGTACGCCAGTCCATAGCCTCCCACTTGGTCGAACATGGCCTTCAGGACATGTTCAGATCCCGTCGTCCTCGCCTGAGAGCTTTCACCTTCTACTCTCAAGCCGGATCTGCCAGCCGTCTGGATTCCATATATGGTGGCTGCCCTGCCCACAGGTAGAGGTTCAGCTCCTCCACGCAGCCATTTTCTGGCAGTGGGACCGCAGAGTTGACCATGATCCGGTGCTGGTGGACCTCGCCTTGCACCTACCGGAAGCGTCGAACTCCCCATACGTTTCGCCACCGTGGCGGAGCTTAGTCCGTGGGCTGGATGGGGACCTTCCCGCCTCCATTGCAACGACGGGGCCGAAGAGCACTCACCTCACATTGCGCGACTTGCAACTGAGCTAGCTAGACGCTCTCGAGTCCCAGTGGCACACTTTCCAGCACCCGCCTTCTGAAGGGTTGGACGGTTTTGTGGGGGGTTCCAACACTTCCTGTGCCAGCTTGTTTTCAGACCCGCTTAGTTGATGTAGTCTGTAGTCGACGGTGTTATGTCATCCCACCCGTATCCCCCACTGTAGACAGACGTGATTGCCGCGCAGCTACATGGTATGCGTGCCTTCTTGAACTCAAGCGAGTCCGGCAGTCAATCAGGGATGCCGTCCAATGCATCGGCCACGACCTCGTCCTGCAAACCTCGGACGTTGCGGCCCGTGTCCCCCCTTCCGGACTGAGATGGCTTTGCCACTGATCGACTTATCTGGGCCACACGGCTTGGCTTTTCTGGAACAGTTGCTGCGCAGCCCCCACCCGTGGCAACCTTCTCGCGAGGCCAGGAGGCTCACGCAGTTCAGGCTCCATCAGCACCTTCCTGGTCTTCACTCCCACCTAATGCGCCTCCAGCTGGGGTAGTTCAACTCCTGGACTCCTGCATGGCGCACGCTGTCAGCCGTCAATCGGGGGCAACCCGGCGGAGCATCCGCTCCTCTCGCCAACAACGCATTGCTCTACTTCGGCGCGAAACCGCCCTCCTTGCCTCAGGCCCGTCGCCCCGACAGCGCCGCAGATATGCCAGTCGGGCCACTCAGGAATGGGCGAAACTACTGCAACAGCCGCCCCAAACATGGAATCATGCCTCAGTGATGCCCTTCCTTGATACATATAGGCAGTCTCGAGGAGCCGTTCATTTCGTGAACATCGGCGATGCGCCCATTGGTCATGACGCTCAACGCGTGGGACAATCCTTCTTGTCACCCGGTCCATGGTGGTTGGTGCATTTCCAGGCTGCCGATGTCCGCTTTGTTACGGGCCTAGATTGCGTGCGGGTGGGGGAGTGGGTCCTATGCTTGCTGCCAGACGGCTGGTATGCATCTCGACCCCGCCCTGTCCAGGCCGCTTCTTCCGGGTTATGTCCCTGCGTGACATCCCCGCAGCATCCCCACTCCGGATCATTTCCGATGGCCTCCTCCATCCAGTTTCCTCGTGTCAACTGGCTCGAGCGGAGGAGGGCAGAAATGCAGATAAGCTTGTGGACATAGTGGGCGTTTCAACCCAAAGGTGGAAGAGGAGCAAGCAAGTCCAAGACCTCCTTCAGCAAGCCCATGCTGTATACCGTGACGCAACCAGCTCGACAAAGACTGCCAGTGCGACGCAATTAAGGAGCCAGCCGCAAAAAGCTTCCAGAACACCAGCCAAAAGGTCACAGAGCCCGACCTCGAGCACGGAAGGAGGAACCCACG